TCTACTTTCTTTGTTATATTGTATTTTTATAATGAGTACATATTGCTTTTATCATCAGAGGAAATAAAGCAATTTTTCTTTTAAGGGAAAAGACAAGACTAAAAATACTACTAAAATAAGAGTAGCTAACAAAACTTTACAGATATTTCTCATCCAGAGGCAGAGCTAGAAAAACTCTAAACTTCAGATAAAACATTAATTTGAGAAAATGGTGATGTTTCTTAAATACATCATTTAAATTAGAAGTGATTCTTTTAGTGCTCTTATTTATGCAGTAATTGTTTCTTTCAGCTACTTGAGTCACAGAAGTAGGGTTATGTGATTAATGTTCCATGGTCACTCAGTTTTCACCTGTATGGTATAAATGTCACAAATATAGCATCTGTAAATGCCAAAGAACGCTGCAAATAATACCAATTATGTAAAAATTTTGTGGCACTATCTCCTAAAACACATCCACCTGAATACCTCACAGAGGGCAGCCTTCAGTTCTTGCCAGTTTCTTTTCTCCCTGTCTCCCTATCCAACTGCCATTCCTGGTTACAGGTTCACATGATTCTCAAAAGTTCTGGTATTTCTTCATTCTCATGTACGGCACAAGTCCTCAAATTTAATTCAAGAAAGACATCAATATATTCTTGGAAGATGACATATGTCTAGTGGTGCATCCACAGGTGCAATGTGCAACGATGCCAGGATGGAGGAATAGCAATGTGGAGCTGATGTGCACAAGAGCCTAGCCAGGCCTGGCATAGGAACATGCTCAGGAGCTATCAGTCACTCAGGTGCAGAGTGGGAGGTGCACTTCCATGAACCAAATTCCCTGCAGAAGGCTGAGTTTCAGGATTCAACTCTTTGAAGAGTTTAGAAAAGTAATATGATACACATACATGCCATGTTTTATTTAACCCCCTCTAAGAAGTCTAAGTCAGCACCCTTTATTCAAATTCATTATTATTTCGAGTTCCAGCCAAGATGGAGACATAGATAGAAACACTCCACTTCCTTGCACAACCAAAAGAAAGATAACCACCAATTTAAAAACAATAAACAAACAGACAATAAACAAACAGAACTGCCAGAATAGCAAGCTGCATGGAACTCCAACAACCAAGGAGGAATAGAAACATTCATCAAGACCAGTAGGAGGGGCAGAGACAGGCAGCTAGGGAGGCAGAGAGGACCCATGGCAAGGTAGTGGACTGTGTGGGCGAGGAGGGGCTGGCTGACCGGGAAACTGAAGATTCAAAACCTCTGGCTGTAAAATACTATGGGGGTTGCAAAGGCGGGAGAAACTCCCAGTCTCACAGGAGAGAGTCTGTTGGAAATAGGCTAGAGCAGAGCAAAAGAGCAGCATTGTTCCCTCTCTGACCCCTCCCACATACAGCATCACAACGCAGCAAAGTGGGTTGCCCTGCCCTGGCAACTTCCTAAGGCTCTGCACCTTACAATGTAACAGGTGTGCTGAGACAAAGAACTATGGACCAAATGAAAAAAAAAAAATCAAAACTCCAGAGAAAGAGCTAAGCAATGAGGAGATAGACAACCTATCGGATGCACAGTTCAAAACACTGGTAATCAGGACACTCGCAGAATTGATAGAGCTTGGTCACAAAATGAAGGAAGAAATGGAGACTACACAAAGTGAAATAAAGGAAAATGTACAGGGACCCGAAGGTGAAGGGAAGGAAACTGGGACTCAGACCAATGATTTGGAACAGAAGGAAGAAACGCATATTCAACAGGAACAGAATGAAGTAAACAGAATTCAAAAAAATTAAGAGAGGCTGAGGAACCTCTGGGACAACTTTAAACGTTCCAACATCCAAATCATAGGGGTGCCAGAAGGAGAAAAGGAAGAGCAAGAGACTGAAAACTTATTTGAACAAAGAATAAAGGAGAACTTCCCCAGTCTGGCGAAGGAAAAAGACTTCCAGGAAGTCCGGGAAGCTCAGAGAGTCCCAAAGAAATTGGACCCAAGGAGGAACACACTAAGGCACATCATAACTAAGTTACCCAAGATGAAAGATAAGGAGAGAACCTTAAAAGCAGCAAGAGGAAAGAAGACAGTTACCTACAGAGGAGTGCCCATAAAACTATCAGCTGATTTCTCCAAAGAAAAATTACAGGCAAGAAGGGGCTGGAAAGAAGAATTTGAAGTCAGGAAAGGCAAGGAGCTACAGCCAAGATTACTCTATCCAGCAGGCTAGCATTTAGAATGCAAGTGCAGATAAAGTGCTTCCCAGATAAGATAAAGTTAAAGGAGTTCATTATCACAAGCCCTTATTATATCAAATGTTAAAGGGGCTTATCTAAGAAAAAGGTCAAAAACTAGGAACAGTAAAATGCCAACAAACTCACAACTGGCAACGCCTGAACCTAAAAAACAAAAACAAACTAAGCGAACAACTAGAACAGGAACAGAATCACAGAAATGGAGACCACAAGGAGTGTTATCAGTTGGGAGGGGGAGGAGGAGAATGGGGGGAGGAAGGTACAGGGCATAAGAAGCCTAACTGGTAGGCACAAAATAGACAGAGGGAGGTTAAGAATAGTATAGGAAATAGAGAAGCCAAAGAACTTATATGTACAACCCAGGGACATGAACTAAGCGGGATGGAATACTAGAGGGTGGGGGGCGGGGTGCAGGGTGGAGGGGAGATAAAGGGTAGAAAAAAATTGGGACAACTGTAATAGCATAATCAATAAAATATACTTTAAAGAAAGGAGAATAAGATATGAAACAGAACTCCTTACTGAAGAAATTAAATGAGTTCCTTTGCATTATAAAAAAAGAAAAGTACAAATTCATTATTATTTCTAGAGCAAATTTTTTGAATATGAACACTGAATTGGAATAAAAAATATTAAAAGACTAAAATCAGTTCAGATCATGTTTTGCCACCAAGATTTTATTTATATGTGTGTGTGTATATATATATATATATATATATATATATATATATATGTGTATATATATATATATATCACTTTGTTTCAGAACTTTTTGTGATCCCAGTGTTATATACATGGGGTTATAAACCTTTACAACTAGTGGTATTACTATTTATATCACCCCTTAGAGTTACGTCACATGCATAACTTTTTTCCCCCCTACATTGAAGAAAATATGCATTCAGATTGTTTAGAATAGCAATTTTCATTCCATTAAAATCTGAAGAACAGTTTAATGATTTTAGACAATCAAGCTAAATGCACGGGAGTAACAAAAATTTAATTCAATGGTTCATTTCTGCTGGAAAATAGAAGGAGGTAACCAGAAAGGGACAGAGAGGGGCTTCAATTATGCTGTTAATGTTTTCTCCTTTAAGCTGGGTGATGGGTATCTAGAGATACGATACATTTGTTAAGACATTCAGAAAGAGATAAAAAATAGTTGATAATAGCTTTTTGTATTAACCTAAATTACTTACTTTGTAAACATTCTATTAGATGTGAGAACTTCTAACTTAACAGGGACTTGGCTAAGGCTCACACTGTGACATTCCTTCATCTTCTCAGCATCCTGGCCCTTTTAAGAGTCTCCCCTCAGCAGCAGCAGCACTTAAGAATCCAGGTTCCCTAGCCTCAGGAAGCACTTTCAATCCAAATGTACAACCCAGACTTACCCTGCGTAATTTTTATGTTTATTCATTAATGGCTTTAGACAGGCAAGCCCAAAACAGACTGACCACAAACTAACTCAGCCTAAAAATGGAGGTCCGTTCACTGTATGTATTTTCTGCAGTAGACAAAACTGACTCTATTCTTACTACCTCAATGTAATTAGGAAGAGAGAATACAGAGACATCATAATGCAGCAGAAAAGCATTTCAGGTTTTTGAAGAAAATATTTCATCAGCCATTATTTGCTCCTAAGTAAATCTCAATATTATTCCCTTTAAAGAATCTTGAGAGCCTTTTATATTTTTAAAGGGCAGAGATCTTTCTAGCATCTTATAGCTGTTTTCAAAAAGTTTACACAATGTAGCATCTCCTTAAATTTTCTAAATGGCCTTATAAAGAGGTGAACAAAGTTATCTCTGTTTTATAAAGAGGAGATGACATTTGCTTTTAATCAAGTAATTGGAATGGCATCCTAAGTCTAGACAGAGGTAGAAGTGGGACTACTACATAGATCATTTACCTTTCCTTGGTAGACTCACATGTCTTACTATAATAAACCACATTCTAAATAGGTTTAACATCCTCTCCCCAGGCAGAGATGAAGTTTAAAAAAAAACATGAAACAGCAAAACCCTGTTCATTGCTGTTTCTTTCATTTAAAAAAAAGTTAAAAAGGTTAGTAGTTCACCAACATTTTCATCATATAGCACTCTCAGAATATGTTTTCTATAAAATAATGCAACAAAGTAATTTAACATCTCTCCTCTCCATTTCATTTATTTCAATCTCCCTAGATAGCCTAAAATAAAGTAGAAAATCCTACACTGAGGAAAAGAGAGAAAGTGGTGTCATTCCTTTCCAGCTTGACATGTAATCAAGTTTTAACAAGAGATTACCTTTAACCCTCATCAAGAGTAAGGAGACAAACATGCCTATTGTACACCAAAAACTAAACAATTTGATCAAACAACACAAACTCATTCTTACCAGGAACATTTACCTATAAAACAGGAGACACATTAGGCCATTAGTGCATGATTTTCATATAAAATACAAGGCTTTTCAGGAAGTATGAGGAGAGGGGGGTTCCATTTCATATTTTAAATACCTAATGTCTAGAACACTAAATGAAGTAGAGAAAATATTTAAGAGAATGTCTTCCATCTGAAATTGCACTACAAGTGGGCAGAACAGCCAGTGCAATGAAAGGGGGTGAATACCTGTGTCATGTGTGCATATAAGGAGCTATGCTTCATACTCGAAATAGTTCACCTCTTATAATGTATACGGACGCCCATTATAAGCAGAACTGAGATTACAATATCCATGTGGTAAAACCTTAGATACCCAGGTCTTTTGGGAAGACAGCATACCTGTAATCGCTGAAATACTCCCGATCGTAGGCCTCCAAATCCATAGTGGCCCTGCAGGTTCAGAGCACTTTCTGACACCTCTTTATAGGGGGACTGTTCAATTTCCCAATCAAACTCATCGTTGTCATCTTCTAGATCTTCCTCAGAAACATCAGAAGCACCTAAATGCATCAAATATTTATTTTTTACAACTGAATTTTCTAGGTTCAACTTGGGGATGTACCAAAGATGGTACAAGAATCTGTATATTCTTGACAGCCAATAAAATGGATCTAACCCACAGGTATATCAGTGATAGAATGTGTAAGCAATAAATGAAATGAAAGCAAACAGACCTCAGCCATATATATGCATAAATCTCACAAAAAATGTTAAGTGAAAGAAGCCAGATTAAAAAAAAACACATACTGTATGAAAAATAGACACAATTTGAAAACAGGCAAAACTGAGGATAGTGGGTACCCTGAAGAGGAGAATTAAGCAGCAAATGAGAGGAGGTACCATGGTAGGATCCCAGGGTATTAGAAATTTCCCATTTCTTGACTCAGGTGGTGCCTCTTTCCTGTAACTCACTGAATTGTACACTTCTAATCTCAGCTCAAATGATCAATACTTTGCCAAAGACAGAGATGCTGTTTCAATTGGTCCAAAATATGACTGACCTACTGGTTCAATGGAGTACTTTATGTCTTTAAACCATATGTTAACAATGATCTATTTTCACATTTTCACATGACCTCCTTATGTTGTTACCTGAACTATTTTCTCCAATTTCATATTTGCTATATCCCTTTTCCCCTAGAAACAAAGAGCATTCCAAATACTCTGTTTTCCTTTATTTTCTCCCAACTGCAATAAACATACCTATTTCTTCCACAAGTGGTTTTGCAGTCCTGGATTTCCTTGGCGCCAGAAGAACAGTTAACATGTTCAGCCCCTCAAAATACTGGCCAGGAGTTTCTTTGGGCAATTGAATGGTAAAAATTCCTTAAAGATAAATTTGTTTTATACTTAGCAAGATTAAAATATTCAAAGGCTTCACAAATACATCTATGTAATATATATCTTATTAAACATAATGCTATTTTATAGAGCTTCAAAATTATACCCTTACGCAAACTTAGTAAATAAATATCAAAATAAGAAAAAGGTTCTAACAGGGCTTTTCAGAACCAGTGATACAGCTGCCACTACTATAAAAAATTAATCTGTTAAAGCTGCAGAATGCTTTAGTCATATGCAATATCACCCTAATTTACTAATACTAATACTAATTATTGACAGTATTAAAATGCAATGGCCTGAGAAGGTAATAGCTTAGAATTAACCAGTAGCTACTGATAAAATTTATTTGTGAACTAGAGAGGTAACAACAACAAAAAAATATCAGGATACATTATCCAATGGACACTAGCAGGAATTTCAAAAATACACAAAATCTTAAATACAGCAGTTATGGCTTCATAAAGTTCTTTACAATCTCCAGAGCTACATCTTAGTCTATCTAAGGCAGACACAAATTCTACCTATGTACTTCTTTTCTTTCCTTGACTGGACTTACCAACTTCATCTAGGCTCTTCTATGAACTTATTACATTATTTACTACTCTTACATTTTAAAACATTTTGCTTCTTTCAGTGTGCTGAACCTTATCCTAATATATCAAATACAACTTAACCCAAAATATCTCTACATATAGCAACCTTCCTGAACCCCAGTGTACTTTTAAAATGTAATAACTTTGTTTCAATATGCAACTTATCTGCAATTAAAAACAGATTTACTACCAAGGAAGAGAGTTTCATTATACTTCATTATCACATTAATTATATTGCATTATTGGTTAGAACTTTATCATTTAACATTTTCATCCCATTTTTCTTCCCTTATCCTAGTTCATCAAGGTCAATAAATAACACAAGAGTATACAGTGTATTCTTATTCCATATCCAGTAACAAAGTAAAATCCAGGAGCTTCTATAAAGGGAAAAATAAGTGGTTTCACTGCTGGTTGAAATGATGAACTTATCAATTACATGAAGAAAATTCAATCAGCCTTTAAATGCCACCTATGGATAGCTTCCTTCTCACCTACATATTAGTAAATTTTAAGTTTGAAATTCTAGAAGTTTTGACTCACAGTTAAAATCACTTATATCTTTTATTGCCTCACACACTCTAACCTTTACTTTTAAAGACTTAATAAATGTAGGGGGAATAGGAAATAAATACTTGTAGAAAAGAGAACCAGAGTGTTTAATTTAACTTTACTGTGAAGAATACTGTGATGTACTTTAAAACACTGAAGAAATTGTCATTGTTAAGAAATCCATGAATAACAGCACTGAACACTGGGGAACTTGAGTGATAGGAACAGAATGCACTTGTAAATCACCCAAAAGGTCCTCACAGTATCATGAAAGATTTTTATGTAGTTATTCTAACATGAAGAATCCAAAGAACAAAACTAACAAAGTTTCCAAAGTAAATACCTTTATCTGCATCATAGGACCCTTGCTCATTTCCATTTTCTACAATTCTTCCAGGAAGAGTTAATCTGCAGATTTAATATAAAGTCGCATGAAGTCCTTAAATTACAAAGTATAATAAGTGACCATCAATGACAGTATACATTGAAACCCATCAACCATTTTAAAAGGAAATCCCTCAGCATGTATTTAACATTTCACAAACTAAATAACTTAGATTTCTTTCCTAGCTAAGAAAAAGGAAATCAGAGATGATTCACTCTCTGTCTGAAAAACTACTAGTTGGTCACCAGCAAAATATATACTTAAAAAGAAAAGCCACAATAAATATTAGTTATCACTATTGGTATAGTACTTCCCCTTCCCTAATGAACAGGTTAATTTACTAAACTGAGCCTGACTCACCAGGGGCTCAGTAAAAGTAGACTAACTGGCTTCCAAAAAAAGAAAACAATAAAGAAACAATAAAACCAATTGCTCCTATTGGTCAAATTACGATTCTAAAAAAAAAAAAAAAAAAAAAAGCAGAAAGCGAAAGTGTTTTCCTCAAATCTCATAATTACTATATAAGGATTTCTCCTTTCATACTAAAGGAAAAGAACTGATTTCCCTGTTTCCAGTTTTATCCTGGTTCAGTCAGCCTTGCATTGAGGCCCCAAAAGAATTTTTCTAAAACAGAAGTCTGACTGTCACCTTTCTATATGAAAAAGTTTCAATGACTGCTCCTCGCTAACTAGACAATTTAAATTAATCAGTACAGTATATCAAGCCAGCACCATTCCATCCCAAACTGAAAATGTGAGCTTCCTTTCCTCCTATAACCCCTTCTAAGCCCTTACTTCCTATTCTAACAGTAATAATAATAGTAATAATAATCTTGGCAGACCCTAAAGGGCACAGGACTTCACAACTTAGCTACTGCTGATCCCAACATTTCCTGGAGCTGCAATGCATTTTCCAAACCAAGGTCCCTTCTAAACCCAATATAAGGAGTCAGTTTATGGGTAAATTAGTTATAATTTTTACAAATACTAACTTTATTATCAGAATCTAATTGCATGCCAGCTCTGCCATTTTACCAGCTCTACAACTTACTTTATACAAGTTAATTAATTTCAATGCTCATATTCCTCATCTGTAAAAAGAGAAAAATAACAGAATCTATCTCAGGGTTACTATGAGAAGAAAATGCAAAGAGCTTAATGGCTGGTATAGTAGGTAAGCATTTAAAAGATGTAAACTATTACTATCAGCTCGTCTCTCTTTGACTCTTTATAAGTATAAATTCTTACTATATAATAGTGAAATCATATCTGTTCACAGATCTGCTGTTGGGAACCGTCTCACCTGGTTTCAGGGACTGCAGCCTCTCCAACAGGCAAGAGGGCCGCAAGGCTGGAGCTAAGCAAGGAGGCCTTGGGAAAATAGGCCACTTCGGAAAATAGGAAACAAAACCTGTCCCCCTAGCAGAGGCGCAGCACCCGCCTCCCTCATATCACCCTGCTTGGCCCCGGAAGATGGCTGGTTAGTTAACGACAGGTAAGATCCCTTGATGCCAGGGACATTAGTCGCAGACACAGTCACCAAGGCCCCATGGGGAAGGGGCAAAAGACCCTCACCCCTCGGCTTTGTCATGGCCAGAGTCCTCATTCTATCTGAAAGCAGTCTCTTCATCTCTTGGCTGCTCTGTTCCCCTCATCTGACTTAGGCTTGAACAAATGCTAGAGGCAGGTATAGCCCTACACTGGATCAGGTGGTTCCCAGGGACAATTAGGCCTGGAAAAGGAATGCATTAAATCCTATGAAACCTGCTTTGCTAAGAACGCCCTTGAGTTCATGAGTAATAGTGTTTGGGGTCCGAGCATAGGATGAGTTTATTTCCCCAGGTTTTAGGACCAAATGTGCGTCACTCTGTCTACCAGATCCTGACTCAGAAAGAATCTTATAATCCCTTTACTGTTCTCCTTAAACCATTTCTCCTTCCTTTAATCATTACTGTTTATCATTGCTTGATGAGTCTGACAAGCATGCTACTGTTTCCCTAAAGGAGCTAAACTCAATAAAAGCTCAAAGAGAAAGGTGCTCGGGGGTCTTCTCCTCTGACAGATTAGCCAGCCTTTTCTCCCCAAGAGGATCTTGCATTGGGCATTTTCATTTCATCTGCGATGCTGGGGGACATCACAGGACAGAACTCCCCCTTCAATCTGCCTCCCCTGCTAGACTCTCAATTCGTCAAGGAGAGGGGCAAGGTTTTATTCAACTTTGATGTACTATAACAAACTGTATTTTCAAAGATGGCCCATCTCACATCACTCCTCCCAACAGTGGGCTCTATGTCTCTGCCCTTTAAAACTGAGTGGGCTTTCAGAACTGTTTTAACCAATACAATAAAGCAGAAGTGACACTGTGATTTCTGAGGTTAAGTCATAGAAGATAATATGGATTCTGCCTTGGTTTCTGGAATACTCATTTTCAAAACCTTCTACTACCATGTTAGTAGTCCAATTCCCTGAAGGAATCACAAACCAGACCATGTAAAAAGGCTACACAGGGAGAGGTCCTGAGACAGCAGAAAGAGAAATACCCTCCCTACCCTCACCTGACTAGTCCCCAGTTGCTTAGGCCCTTGCTGTTCCAGATTCAGCCACCATGTGACCACAGGTGAATTAAAAACATCAAGCCAGAACAGTTCAGCCAAGCCCTCACCAAATTCCTGATACACAAAAACCAGGACAGGGAGTTAAATGACTGTTGTTTTATACCATTAAATTTGCTTGGTTATGTAGCAACAGATAACCGGAACAGCAGGCCCTTAATAAACAGAACAAACCTACTGATTATTGAACAACTGGATAAATATCAGGCATGGTAATGAAAACTATTATATGCATTATCTTAATCTCACATCAACTAATATTAGTTCAATTTTACAAATTAGTAAACTGAGACAGTAACTTGCCCAAAGTCACAGCACTCAAAGTGTTCTGAGACACAGATGTGGGTACCCAACTCCTAAGTCTCTGCTGTTATCAACGGAATGAATGAATTTGTGTGAAGAGTAAGTACTCTTTAAAAAGTTTCACACATTAAGAAAAAGTTTCTTAAATTCTCTTCACTAAAACTCCCCAACTTAAGCAGAGTGATTTTTACTTTGAAATTTTTTATTTTATTGTATTTATTTTGCAATCCTATCTCATTTAAGAACCCTCCAAGTCTCTGATGCCTCATCGGTAACATGGGTAAACAACAGAACCTACTTTGCAGAACTTCCCTAAAATCAAATGAGATAATCCACATAAAACACTAACCTGGAGTAAACCTTCAACAAATGTTTGCTAACACCACCATCATCTTCCCATTCTTAAATGTCTTAAATATCACCTCTTCAAAGACTTTCTCTGGCCACTTTATATAAACAGACTCCCTTTTATTCTCTATGGGTGCAATTTACTTCCCTTCAGAGTACTTCCTACAATTTGTAGTTATATGTTTACTTGTTTATTATTTTGCTTTCCCAGTTATAATGTAAACTTATGAGGCACCATTACATCCCCAATATTGAAAACAGAGCCTGGTATATACCATGGGCTTGATAAATAAATCAAAGAAGTAAATTAGAAAAGAAATAGGGAAGTGCAGTATATTCAAATAGGTGGATATGTGAGCAAAACTGGTTCAGGACCAGCGACGGAACCAGCTTGACTGGAGACGAAGGTTTGTATTAGGAAAGTACCTGGGCAGGAAAAGTAGTCTGTAGCTACACTTAAATGAGAAATATTAGAATAGATTTCTCCCTCCTGGGGAAGGAAGAACAAGGAATTGACAATGTTTAGGAATCATCTGGCAGTCTCCTCTGTAAAATAGGGCTAATAATTATGTCTATCTCTAAGAATCGCTATCCTGATTAAATGAGGTAATGTACACAAAGGACTTAACGCGTAGCTTGCCAGAACCCAGGGGACGACAAAACCAGAGAAGTAGCTAACGACGAGAAGGTAGGAGAATGAAGTTATTTTGGTGTCAGGCAGGCCAAGGAAGCCGAAAATTTCAGGAAGTAGGGGCCGCTAAGACAGAAGAGTCGATAAACAGGACGTGGATTGAGAAAAGTCAAATACGCCAGGCAGCTAAACAATCAGCACGCGCCGTCCCGGGCAAGAACAAAGGCAGAACGCTATAAAAGAGCAGAAACTGGAAACGTGGCATGGTCCCAAACGCCATGCTTTAAAATGACTCAGATATCTCTTTAATGTCGGGATTTAAGAAGGCTGAGGAAGAACAGCATCTAGAACGCAAGCCTAAAAGAGTTCACTTCCTCACCGTCAAAGAAGCTGCGAGGACTTCGGGGAAAGGCCCTAGTTCTTTCACCCTCCCTCGCTAAGCAGTTATCGATCTGTGAATGAATGAGTGTCCCCAAAATACACTCCCAGTGGCCAAACATCCGGAACTCGCCTGAGAAAATACGGCTTGGCGTAGAACTTGAAGTCGACCCCCTGGAAATAGACATCGAACTCGGAGACCCGAGCGTAGGGCACGCGGATGGCGATAGTCAGGAAATCCGGGTCCTGGCTGAGGTCGAACGCAGGTGTCAGCATCGCCACGCTAGCTCCAGTGCCCAAGTCGGTCACTGTAGTCGCCGCTGCCGCCCACCACCCAGACTCCCCCAGAAATCCCCACGTTCAAGTGCTGGTTTGGTTAGCCCCCGCCGCTTCCGACTAAAAACGGAAGTGCTCCTTCAGGGAAGAGGAAGTCCCGCCCCTCCACTATCTCCGTGGAGACGGGACGCTGTTTGTGAAGAGCAGGGGGAATGCGAAAAGCGGCTTTCTGCGTAGGTAGTAAGCCCAGATTGTAATTTGGAAGAAGGCGGACAAATCTTCACCTTAGACTCATCTACCCTCTTTCGATGTTCTTGGAGGCAGCTTAACAGCATTGGCTTTCCAGGAAGAAACCTGTGTTTGAATCCCTTCTGGGCCACTTCCCATCTGTAAGACTTTAGAAAAGTTACAAAACCTTCTATGCTTCAGATATCCCTTCTATAAAATGAGTATAGCACTAAGACCTAGCCTCATAGAGATACCGTGAAGGTAACATCAAATTATGGAAAGCTCTAATAATGTACCTGGTAAGTTGTCAATAGCAGCACCCTTATCGTGGTTTTCCTTGGCTGCCATCGGTTTGGTCAGCAATTCCCTCTTCTCACTTTTCCCCTTCGTTTTTCCCTGCCAGTGTCTATCCTCTTCCCGTCCCCCTCCACATTTGTCTCCCTTTTCCTCTTTCTCTTTCATAATTTCTTATGTGAATAGAGTTTTGCTGTTGACAGAGCATCCATCCAAATACTGTCTTTTAATCTGCACTATGGACTCTGAAGAATACAACTCAGAGAGATTAGTAGTATGTCTTATTATAATCATGGATTTTACAATTATCAGAACTCAGAAAGCCTGACTCTTAAACCCAGTTAGTGCCTGCAATGATGAATTATGATCCATCTGTAATTTTCCCTCTTTCCCTTTTCTTGACTTTTCTTCTTAGGCTTGTTTGGGGTCCTCTTTCCCGTCTCTTTTTCCTACTCTTCCTTGTATTCCCCCTTTAGACTATGCTCCTCATACTCTCCCAGTCCTCTCCAACTAATCTCTCTCTTTGCTTACATATATTTCCTCTTATTTTATTTCCTGTTATTCCACTAATAGATAGAATAGTCCAGGAAATAGTATTGATTTCCTGGTTTTAAATATGAGTAGAACAGGGGTGAAAGTCATCTCCTAAAATAGTGGACCAGATAACCTCAAAAGCCTTTTCAACCTCCAGTTTTTCATCAGTGCTGGAAATTAACTAGTACTCAGAAGAAAAACCACATTAACAGAAACAAATAAAAAATTTAAAATAAAAACCACTCTGCTTAAGTCTGGGGGTTTTGATAACAACGAAATAAGAGGTAGTCTGTAAAACAGTTTAAAGAGTGCTCTTTACACATTCATCTATTCCTTGGGGAGCAGAGAGATTAATTGAATTAATGGATACTTAGTATGTGCTAGCTCTGTACAAAATCCTTTAAACTGGTCTCATCTTCCCCTTCTATGAGGTAGGCATTATATATCCCCTGATTTACACAGGGTTGAACAACTAGTGAGTGATGAAATGGGAATTGAAAACCAAGTGAATCTGATTTCTGAGTTCAGGCTCTAAAATACTACAGACCTCCCTCTAATATTATCACCTACCCAACTTGTTTCATATCATGAGCCCAAGCCTCCCTACTTTAGGCCATATTGAGCTTTACAAACAGTAGTGTTACTGAACACAGGTCTGGCTGCCTTCCACTATGAAAGCCAATACTTGAGAGGCAAGTGTTGATGTAAAGGAAAGTGGTATACTTTCAGGTGCTGGTCACCTGTAAGATGAGGGACTCATGTCTCAAAACCCATCTCCACATCTCAGTGGAGGCTGAGGTATTTATAAGGAAGGCGAAGGGAACAGAACAAAGGGATCAAGGAAAGGGACTGAAAAGCTCTCTATGTGCTGACTAGCACAGTCCATCCCAATAAAGCAAGTGATAGTGCAGTGTGCATCATCCTGGTTTAGTCATCATAGATTTACATCATACTGACTTTATATCATCCTGGCGTCATGGTCAAAGCTCAGCAAATCTCCCGGAGCTTAGAAACCTGAAGGTTAGAGTCTGTATCTTTTAGAGTTAGTTCTTAGGATTCTTATACAAATATGCTGTTCATCTACATGCTACATATTAATCAGAGTCAGCACTTATAAACACAATGTCAAAAGAATGGTGGGATGGGTTACAATTTCCAACAGTTACAATTTTCCACTGTTACAGTTGGCACTCAATATTGTAACTGAATTGATACAGACTTGGAATTAGTAAAGTCCTCAAAAGGTCCCTTGAGATAGGCCTTTGGCTGGATCATTCCAAATTAGCTTCTCTATAAGGACTCTTTACAATTACCAAGAGACCTCATTCCTATAGGTCACAAGCATTAATACTTTTAAATTATTAATGTAAGAACATTAGCTGAGACTAAAGCTATGCTATCCACAAGGAAATTCTAAATTGAAATCACTTATCAAAGTAGAGCTATGAGCTTTTTAGATATTTTATTCTGGATTTGGCAACCCATACGCACAGGCTATACAGTTCATTGCTGCTGTTATTTATAGGAGATATATTCAGTACTGCATCTGCTGTATCACAAAATATTGATAGCTGCAACTATCAATATATTAATTATATTATAACAGGGTTTTGTTGGTATTTTTTTGCAAGTTATAGTTCACTTCAGTTTTGTATTTCTAATTAGTGGTAAATTATACAAGCTATAAGTTCTGTTAAAAAAATATGAACAAAGTCACTTTAAAATTGTATCAGAGTTACCATCCCAGGGGGATTTCCTTGCATGTCTTATGCCTCAAACCTTTGCAATATTAAAACAGGGCAAAATAACCTTTGGGGTGGCCCTAACTCAAGATTGTGTCCCAAAGAACTGTTTACAAGGAAAACAGGAAAGCAGATATTATGGCTACCAACTGATGACTACCAGAATAAAAATTAAAAGTATTCTTTAGAATAACTGTCACTATATGCACCAGTTGAAATGCCTTCAATGATGTAATCATTCCCCTTCACTTTCTCATAAATTCCCCTTGCCTTTGTCTCTTAATTGGAACGATATTTGAGTTTCTGCTTCCCAAATAGCTATTTTTCTTATCTCAAATAAATGGTTATTACTTTTCAATTTGGGCTTTTATTTTTAGGTTAACATATCTGATATTAGGAATGGGATCTGAAAATGGTTTTACCTTCAGGGACCGGCATTCCTTGGAAACAGTTATGGTACCTACAGAGCCTCTTTTGTGCTCACTGTTGCCACAGGCCACTATCTCCTTGACTAAAGCCCTCCTATGTTTGGAACTCCCTCCTTTTTTGGCTGAGGTCAAATACCTTTACCTGAGATAGGGAAGGGTTTTTCCCTCATTTCCCTCAGGGATCTAAGGGCAATTGCCCTGGGGATGATTGTCCTGGTGTTGGCATGCAGCATGTAGCAGGGGACTGTAGGAGCTTGCTGCTTCCTGTGAAACGATCTCTTTTTTTTCTCAAGAGGGACATTTCACAGCTCTCATGTTAGTAAGAAGCGCCCTGGGGGTGAGAAGTTCACAGGGGTTTCCCTGGTGGGTGAGGACTTAGGTGTTGCTAGCACTTTGATTTCTTTGTCTTCTCTCTGCCTATTATGTTGTTTGTCATAAGAAAAAGATTTCATAAAGAGATAAATCCAATCCTCTCTGGAACAATGAAATACATTCTTTGATTGATAAGCAGAAGTTTCTAAAAGATAAAATAATTTCTCTAAAACAACCCAATAAGAAACTTTGGCCATTTGAGTAGATACTTTAACATTTCGTACTGTTTGTCGTCCTGCCCAAAACCTGACAAGATATTACAAAAAATTTAATAACTATATGATTAGAAATTTGGCAAAATTAGAAACTGATTTTTCAAAGTCAACTAGGATTTTAAAGCTTCCTCAGGATCTTTCCAAGGCCTTCCTGACAGATATAATCAGAAATGTAAACACAGTCCACAACTGCCTGAGACTAAAAAAATCAAAGGGACAAAATAGGAAAGAAAAGCCTTTTAAAAAAAGCATAAGCAGCTGAAAAGATTCCCTTGTCTAAGCAGTCACTGCTAATGTATTTAAAAATTATTTATCGAGGACAAATACAAATCTTAGTTTTGAACATACGAACAGTAACTTATTATGTTATAACTTAACAAGGTTTTGCATTATTGTACCTGTTTCATGCCTGAAGTTTTTAAAACAACAAATCAGGTCTCTGGTTTTGTGTATATGTGTGTGCACCTTCAGAAGAAATTGTTAGAATTTTTTATAAAGAGCTCAGATTAATTGGCTTAAATAAATTAAGCACTTAGATAAATTAAGAAATATAATAGTCTGCTTCTTGAGCTCCTGAGTAGAGTGGATTTGGCCGTCTGCTGCTAACACAAGCCTAAGTAAGACAAAAGTTGGTGGGGAAAGAAAAAGGTCTTTATTAAAAATTTTCCCCAATTTGGGGACTTGGGAGACTCCCCAACTCCAGCCCAATCTGTCCCACAAAACAGAGAAAGAACCCAGCCACCCCTAGAACCAGAGAAAGTGTTCAGAAACCCCACTTCATCTTTATCTGTACTTCTGGAGCCCGCGGCTGCTGTATGGGCGTCTCTCTGGCTTCGGGCTCCCTTCCTGGAGTGTGCACTGGTGAGGCCGGCACCGTCATGCCCTGCCACAGCTGCTTTTCTTGGCTGGAGGGGCCCAGGGCCGCTGCCAGTCACGCTGCTGGTTGTGCAGGGGCTCCACCGCTGGGACGCAGCATCTGAGGCTGCTCATGCCCCCAGGGCTGGTGAGCACTCCTGCACCTATCTCAGAGGCAGAGAAGGGCACACAGCTGCAGCATCCTATTGGTAGCCACCAGGGTATGCATCCCCGTGGCATGGCCTAGCACACGGGACTCAGCTTTGGCACAAGCCACCCCCGACTGGGCAAGTGAGGGGCAGCAGAAGAGCCAAGTCTCCACCTGCCCTCTGTTTGAAAATCCGGGTCACAAAGTTACACACACACGGCAGAAACGTCATTCTTCCCAGCCAATCCAGGCTAGACTGGCAAGTATGTACCTCCCCTTGAACTCTAAA